ATGTGCAATCGTCTCGGCCGGCCGTAAAGGTACTGTTACTACTCAAATTAGAATCGCCTTCTTCTATTCTTCCTCATCTTTATATGACATTTTAAGAGATAACGATCTGAAATATCTGTTATCTGAGAATTCACTCTTGTTACAAAATAGATTATCTTCTTCCATGCGTCATATTATGAATTATGTTAACGGAAATCGATAAATAATTAATTTTTTTTGTTTGTCTATATGGAGCTAGAATGAAACTAATATGATCAATAATTGTTGAATATAGTGGAATATTTTGGAATATTTTAACTTAGCTTTAAAATTTTGTGTTCTAACTTTTTACGATTCTTTGCCGCTATAAACTTGATATAATTTTTATAATATCCGTATTTTCTAAATAAAGCATAAGTAATAGCAGAAATAATAAAGTGTACTTTTAAGATCTTCATAAAATTTTTCAATTATTTAATGCTATCAATTTACTAAAACGTATGCTGTTAATATCTATCTTATCTCCGTATATTTATATAGCTACACATAATTTATATTTATAACGTATAAGTAATAATATATGACTCAATAAAAACAAATTAATAATAATAAAGTAGAAGAAGGGCTATGAGCCAAAGGTCAAACAATAACTTTTAATATTCGATAATAAACAATACAAACATATGTTTCGACACCGATCGGGTCATTATCAATGTAAAAATAAAAATAGAATTTGAAATTATGACATTATTTAGCGGTTGAGTAAAATATTACAATAGCCTATGAAGTTACTAGAAAATTTAAAATAATTTATATTTATATTTTTTATTTTTTCATTAACGTTTAATTAAGGAACGAAGTTGTTAACAAAGTTAATCGGGCAATAAAGCTTGAACTAGGATGTACCGTTTTTACGTTTACTTTGAGAAACAGATTCCCTACGGTCCATACGCGACGCGTCGCCGAATCTAACGGTAACGTTGATTCGTCCAAAACGTCGTTTCCTCCTGTAGAAGTCGAACGTTATCGAGTTGTATATTTACTTACATCCTTGTGAGCGGTAACGGTATATGCGTTTCGGTGGTTCGTTTCATGAATAAATTATTCTAATCTATTCTATCACCACAAGACAATGACATCCTTTTTTACAACTAATGATAAATTTCAAACTAACATATACACAATTTACTTATATTTATTTTTATTCTTGGAGCCACAAAACTTTTTTTTTATTTTAATCAAATTATCGTAACTTATTGGAAATAATTTGTAAAAAGAAGTGAATACTTAATGAGTCACGTAAAGTGCAATGGGTTTCAAAACGTTAAGCCATAAAATGCAATATCCGAAAAATTGAAAGCAAATCTTGACTTATTCCATACATTTAAATATTAAATGTTTGATTCAATCTTAAAATGTAATATTTATCTAATACAAAAATAATATAGAATAAAATATATATAAAATAATTTTACAAAAAATCTGATTTGATTAGTTTTTGATTCGGCGATTCAATTTTTTCTATCACTGATAATACATAGTAGAGCGAAAAGAATTTTGTCAACAAAAAAGCGAAATTTTGAACAGTATCTAGATAGCAAATTAACGTCAAAGACGTTATTGTGATGTTAAAATGACGACAAATAATGCCTGCTACTTCAGTAATTTTGTGGTTGCATCTAGAAAAAACCCGCGGCCTGCGGCGGCATAGTTAAACGTTGCGTTTACGTTGCGCTTTAGATAATAAACGTTCGAAGCACCACGAAGCGGTACAGTCGTAAAATAATCATTTCTTTGAAAGAAATATTTAGTGTTTCTCTTTGTCTACTTGAGTCTGTGTAGATTTCAAATTCCTAACCCGCGAGGGATGGTGCATAAACATAATAGATCTATTATGAGTGGACGTTACAACTGTCCAACCACATTCACTTGAAGGTCTACTCAGTTGACACTAATTAAACGTAACATAACATCAATGTTATAATTTTGCGCTCAACAATAATATAAATACGATGTTACATAATTACAATTACATTGTTGAGTGCATTAGTATAACATTAATGTTATACTTTTAATGGGTGTCAACTAAACGTTATCCAAGCATCACTTTGGATTTATAAATCTAGACTTAAATCTTGATTTTTTCTTGTTTTCACAAAATTGATTGTTCGAGACAAGCGAATTTTATAGGACTTGCGAAGGACATCGATCATTGATAGTATCTTTGAATTATAATTTCAAAGGAACGTTTAATCTTTATCTCTTACTCACCGTGAGGAACATTTGTTTCAGCTTCAGTTAAAAGTCCTTTCCCGGCCCGTCCGATAATCTCCACGTTACATTAAAATCGAACAGACTGTCCTCGAGAGACGAGGTAAGTAAAAAAAAAATTATAAATACCGAAAAAGAGAATATTAGAATTGGGACCACGATTCTCTCTTTCGCTTCCTTAAACACCGTTCATGTCACTGCACCGGATGTCGAGTGGGGTCGAGCACCTCCGTCCTCGCAGGTGGATGTCCAGAGGTTGACTGTAGAATCGTAAGTAACCGCTCTGTGCTTGGGCAGCCAGTCGGGGCGAAAGAGGGGATCTTTCTTTCTCTTTCTTCCTCTCTGGTCGGGGATACTGGCCCCTATTCTGCCTCTAAACCTTTTTCCGCGTATTGGTGTAAAGAGAAGACAATTATTTGATGTAAGAGGGTAAACCTCTGCTATGACTCCCTTTCTCAAATAGGTCGTATAGATTGGAGAACGCAGAGAGAGCATTCGAAGTTTTTCTCTACTAGAACAATCAGAGGACAATTAAAGAAAATAAGGGCCCGTAAAAAACATTATTCCTTAAAAAAAAAAAAGTTTAAAAAGCTTTAAATCAATTTCTTATGAATAATAAATTAATTTTGTTATACGTTTTACTATTATAGGGTTGTCACAAAGCTGAAAATCAGAGAACTTTGCAAAATTTTCCGAAAAATAAAAATTTTTAGTTTTAAAAAAATTTAATATGCGTATATATATCACACGCAATTTTGGAATACTATCAACTCAACCATTAAATGGAAGCAGTGTCAGTAATAGTGTTAGTTAATAATAATTTACATTGGCTGTGTACAGCAAAAGGTTTATTTTGTAACTGTTGAAAGTCTTCGCTCAGAGATAGGATTATTCCTGTAGATTTAAAAGCATAATTCAAATCAGCGTGAAAAAAACTTCCAACAGTTGCAAAATAAACATTCTGTTGAATGCGATCATGTTAAATTGTTTTCTCAAACAAAATATTTGACGACTTCCAAATAAAAAAAAAATTAAAAAATTATTATTGAAAGCATCAGGGAAAACCATGAAATTTTGTCAGGAAATCAGGAAAAAGTTATGGTATTTTAGGATGAGAAATTTGTGGAAATTCTACATAAATATCGATTAAAATTTAGAAAAATGCGGGTTTTTCACGACAGATGAAAAGATATTAAACATTCAACAAATGATACAATTTTTTATGGGATTTTTGAATTTACTGAGACTATAGGTACTTTCCAGCAAGGACAGTTAGACACAGTGTAACACAGTGATTTACATTACATCCTTATTGTTTTCCTACATTAAACAAGTATGAAACAATTCACTGTGTTACACAGTGTCCATGTCCTTGCTGGAAAGCACCCTATGTAAACATAAATGTTGGATATTTTCAATCAAAAGCAATATTAAACAGAATTATCATATGAAATTGTTCTTATAGCACAAAGAAATACATGATCTTTTTTTATTAACTACATTGAGAGAAAAATGTTTGGTATTTGTAGCTATAATTACATATTACTATTATAATATTAATAATAGTAACCATACGTATAGTTCTAGCAACAAATATATAGTTAGCAACCTATAAAATGATTATAATTATAATTATTATAACCATAAAAATAGTTGAATTACCATAAAAACGATTTAAATGACTATAATTATAATTTTAATCGTTTTATAGATTGCTAACTATATATATTTGTTGTTAGAACTATACGTATGGTTATTATTACTAATATTATAGCAGTAATAATCATAATTATAGTAATATGTAATTGTAGTAACAATACCAAAAAATTTTCTCTCTATGTAATTTTTTACCAGCACCAATCATGATAGCTTTATTGCTTATGATGTTTTCGGAAAACTTTGATTTAGAGAATTAAATCATGAATAATGTCAAAATTTGCCGAAATATATATAATAATATATTATCAAAAATCCCAGATCTTAAAATAAAAATTACGTTCACGTATCATAAATCATCTTGAATAAAAATCTTAATGAATAGAGAACAAATAAAATGGATATAGATATCTATGCTATTATCATTCTATAATTATATTATATTTTTTATAAAATGATAAATAATTGAGATTAAACTAAGCAACATTAATATTTTAATCACTGTAGAAAATAAATTCTGTGAAACTTGTTCTAGACCTTATAATAGATCTTAATTGTTCTAAAAATAATGTATTTCAGCATTAGTTATGATGTAATTTATAATGTATTCAAAAACATTTTCGTATTGCGAGCACTTGTAAACTGCTTTGACAAGATTAACATTTTCGTAACATACATAGAACATATACATAGAATGTTGCAAATCAGTAACTGTGAAAATAAAACGTGGGTTTGTTAAGTGTACGATTTGATAACAGCGTGTTTAATAACATCAATTCTGTCGAGTAATAGCAAATTCGGTTGAAAAAACAGTATAATAGTACAGATTAAAAGTATAGTTATTTATACGTAGAATTATAATGTAACATAAAATGTCTAACTACATTGCAAAATTGATATAAACATAACTATATAAAAATAGTCGAAATTACTATGAAAACGATTCAAATGATTAAGAATAATTTTTATGATTATAATAATTATAATTATAGTCGTTTAATAGATTGGTAACTATATATATTTGTTGTTAGAACTATAATTATTATTACTAATATTATAGGAGTAATAATCATAATTATAGTAATATGTAATAGTTAACCGAAAGATCACATTTGAAATGGGTATTCTAGATGAAATATTGGGATCCCATGGATTCTGTACTTGACTTGAGCCAGAACATGTTTGGAGACAAAATATCTCGAGAATAATGTAGTTGAGCCCAATAAGACTCTGGACTCAAAATATTGGTAGCTCATCTGATGGTCCTTTTCAAACTCTACAACTTTTATTTGAAACATTTTTTTTCAAAAATGCATTGTTCTCGAGATATTTTGTATTTAAGTTAAAATAGCCTAACATGTTTTGATCCTTGTCGGGTACAGAATCCATAGGATTTCAAGATTTGATCACTATTTAGTTATTTTTTTTAAATTACTTTTGCAATGTAGCACATTCTCTTGTTAGTGCATTACACATATTTTGCCAAATACACTAATTAATTGTGTGTTATATTACTTTACCAACTTCCAAGTTTCATTATATAATTCTAGCTATACGATTTTGGTACATTCAATGGCAGTTTCAATTTACGTGCGACTGTATAAATCAGTGAAATATATCAACCGAATTCGTTATAACCTCTTGTCTTCTTTAAAATCTTAGACAACTGTTTTATATATTTTAGCATACATGTTTACAGTATAAGTCAGTATTAAACTTAATTAATTATTTTACTGATTTAAATATGGAGAAAATAAAAAGAATCATGGAGTGTAAGTGTTTAATCCTCGAATTTAATGGAATTAACACGTGTATCTATGTGTCCACCGCGATAAGAACCGCGCTTTTTTTTTTGCTTCTCATGTCGAAATTTCTTGCCCTTTGTAAACTTCAATACTTCATTAGCGCGTTCCCCCCACGATCCTCTTGCACCTTTCTGTAGAGAAAAAAAATCAATGTTAAACATCTTTACATTTTTCTTAAAGATTAAAAGATTATATCTTTGTAGTAAAATCCCGATTTTTCCCTCACCTTTATATACATCTTTATTATTAATCATCAAACGTGATTTTTTTATTTTGAGGTGGGCCTGCGATATCGAAAGATTTTCTTTTATCGAAACCACCCCTAAAACCTCCTCTATCATTATTCTCATTGTTTCCCCATGATTTTCTGGGTCCGTCATTATCCCTGTTTCCCCAAGATCTTCTGCCATCGAAACCACCTCTACCGCCACCTCTACCACCACCACGACCACCTCTAAAACCACGACCTCCGCGACCACCCCTATCATTATCGTTGTTCCTATATCCAGCGTTATCACCACTGTTGCTCCAACGCCCACCCCGATCGCCGCCACGTCCACCTCTAAAACCGCCACGACCACCCTCGTCACGTCCTCCTCGGAAACCACCCTCGTCACGTCCTCCTCTGAAACCACCCCTACCGCCTCTAAATCCACCCTTAAATCCACCTCGTTCGGAGTTTTGTTTTTTAAAACTGTTATCATCATCTTCATCCTAAAACAAAAGAGGAATAGGTCAGTCGCCCATATCGGAAGCATGTTATTACAAAGCAATTCACGTCTTTCTTTTTTTCTTGCTTTTATTCGTTTTAGATTTTTAAATTTGGATAAATTTGGTGAATGCACGGAAACATGGTCTCAAGCAGGGTCTCGAGCTTTTGTAAAAAGGGCGAGCGACCTATGCCTCTTGAACGGTTTCCAAGCATTTACCTTTGCTTCAAACGAATTATTAGCCAACTTAGGATCCAATACGATGTCTTCACTTTTCACACGCTGATATGTACGATTTTTCTGCCGCTAAATAAAAATCATAGGTGATAAAAAAAAAACTATTTACATCATTTCTCAGGAACGTAAAATTAAGGTAAATATACCAGTTAGGCCCAATGTTTTATTATTAGGTTAACTTGATGTTTCACTCAAATAGGCTTTCACCTATAATTACACAAATTAAATCCATTAGATAAAACATCAGGTTAGGCCTAATGACAAGTTAACCAGGAAATGAAAAACCAGACATTAGGAGACATGATCCAATTATTGGACAAAACAATAAAAATTTTAAATATCCAGCTTTTAATATGTACAACCCTAATAAATTCGTTACTTATAAAAATTTAATAACGAATTTATTTAGAAATGTACATATTATTGAAAGCTTAATATTTTTAATTTTTGTCATTTCGTTCAATAACCAAGTCATGTCCATGAACTGATATATTTACTTTAATTGTTACTTAAACATAGCAATAATGATTGCATTCAAAAAATGAACAAGAAAACGTTTATTGAATGGACAATTGAATTAGATGTGCAATTCTCAAACTTTTTAATGAATGACTTTTGCGAGAGTATATCCATCATTTTCCATTTAATTTAGCCAATTTTCCATTAAAAAAGTTAGACTGTATCTTAGATCGTATTTTATATAAAGACCTTAGGTTTGTTCACACCGCATGCTTCAACATGCTCCTATCATAGCACCTACTCACTTCAATGCACTCATTAGAGCGAGTAGGAACTATGGCAGGAGCATGTTAGAGCATGCGACATGAACAAACCTCTTATTACATACAAATTATATAATATATATATATATATATATATATATATATGCACGGGTATATATACATACATGTGTGTATGTGTGGGGGTACATACCTTATTTCCATTAAAGCTACTATTAGCTTTCACAAAGTTGCCATAGCTATTTCTTGCAGTTTTTGCTGGTGTTTTTTCTTCATCATTATCAGTGTGTTTCCTTTTTTGTCCCTTGTTGATCGCAGCTGGTGTATGAATTTTCATCTTCTCTTTATTGGAGTTATTGGAGGCTGAATCAGATTCGCTCGAGGATTCTTTTTTGGCGATTATCTTGGCCGATGCTGTTGTCGGTGCCTCATCTTCCGAATCATCTGAATCTTCGCTAGAAGATTCCTCCTTCTTCTGTGTTTTACTAATCGCCACTTTCGATACTGCTATTGTCGTTGATTTCTCTTCTTCATCAGATTCATCCTCTGACTCCTCGCTTGATGAATCTTTTTTCTTTACAGAACTAATTTTACTAGTAGTATTTTGATTAGTGAGAGTTGGCGTTTTACTAGGTGCCACTGTCACTGGTTTCTTTTCTTCATCAGATTCATCGTCTGAATCATCGCTCGACGAATCTTTTTTCTTTACAGAACTAATTTTGTTAGTATTTCGATTAGTGATAACCGGCGTTTTATCAAGTGCTGCTTTCGTTACTATCATTGTTGCTGGTTTTTCTTCTTCATCGGATTCATCTTCTGAATCCTCGCTTGACGAATCTTTCTTTACAGAACTAATTTTATTAGCAGTACTTTGATTAGCGAGAGCTGGTTTTTTAATAGGAGGTTTTTCATCTTCGCTACTTTCTTCGCTCGAGGAAGATGTTGTTTTCTTAGCAGTGACTGTCGGAGTTGGTTTTTTAGCAGCAACTGCCGGAGTTGTTTTCTTAGTGGTGGCTACTGGAGTTGGTTTCTTAACAGGCTGCTCTTCTTCGCTATCATCGCTATCATCGCTATCTTCGCTTGAAGATTCTTTCTTGGTAATTAATTTTACTGGTGCAGCTGGTTTAATGGGAGCTATTTTTTGGGGCGTTTCTTCTTCGTCACTACTTTCTTCACTCGATGACGACTCTGATTTTTTAACTGCTTTTGCTGGCGTTGGTTTATTTTGATTTTGTGTCTTTACAGTTACAGCAGCTTTTGTTGCGACTGCCTTAAGTTCCTCTTCGCTGCTCTCTTCTTCGCTCGAAGAAGAATCTTTTTGCATAGCAGTTACTGACGAAGTTGATTTCTCAACGGACTGCTGTTCGTCGCTGCTATCGTCGTCACTAGAAGATTCTTCCATGGCAGTATGTTTTGCTGGCACTGTAGATTTACTGAGGACTGGTTTTTTCTGTACATTCTCATTCAATGCATCCACATCACGACCTTTGCTCTTGTTTGTAACCAGTGTTGCTGATTTATTCTGTTTTTGTAATTGTGTTTTTGAAGCTACATTCGTTATGGGTGTGGATGTCTTCATTGCTGACTGTTTGGTAGTTTTTGAATTTGCCACTTCAACGTCAGGACTCGCTGAAGATGAATCGCTGGAAGTTGAATCAGATGAATCAGATGTCTTGGCCTTTGCTGCTTTAAGCATTGCCTTTGCTGCTTTCAATCGAAGGTTTTTATCATTTTCACGTTCCTTATTGCATTCATCGAACCGCAGTTTACCCTTTGCAATCGCTTCTATTATTGTTTCAGCTTTACTAGAATCGTCTTCCTCAGAAGATTCTGCCATTTTTTTAAGAGCCACTGTTTCTACTGCTTTGCCATTAACTTGTGCATTTTTTTCTGTTTCCTCTTCACTTTCCGAGCTCGAATCCGAACTGCTTTCCTTGGTTACTTCTGTGATTAATGGGATCTTCTTGGGAGAGTTCTTTTGGAAATACTTAATTACTTCCAATAATGTTGGAAATTCTTTTCGCAGGAGAGGCTGAAATATACAAGCATCGATAAAGCAATTATTGCCTATTACGTGCAATATTTGGTAATTTTAGGGCGCTACAATAAAAATTACGACAACATGCAGATATGGAATAATCGAGAAAGAACACGTTGGGAGCGTTCAAACCGCGTTGCACCCACGTGGTGTTAACGAGTATGGCGTCAGGCGGTACTTTGGTGCCGCATGGCGCGTGGCGTCGGCCATTCTTGCGACTTACCGCTTTCGTCTTCTTCTGAAAAACCGTCGCCAACGATGCATCTTTCTTTAACAAATAGTTATACACGAGACCAGCTACTAACGATTCCTCAGCGTTACTCATGGTGCCAGGTACGTATGCCAATCGCAAATAAAGGAGACCAATAAATTCGCGACGAACGTCGCTTCCTGAGCTTCCTCTCTCGCCGGCTTCGTTGCTTGCAATGGCCAGCAATGGCTACTTACTTTACTTATGACGTCCACGCCGTCCGCGGCGCTGCTGTTTCAGCCAGGATTCGCATACAAAGGGTGCGTTCCGTTTCTCGCGTGTGCGCATAATGCATCGTTTATCCTTGTTGCTCACCAAATGTTAAACAAGGACAATGGATGCATCATGCACATCATGCGCGATATGGAACGCACCTAAAGACATATGCTGGATTCACATAGAGTCCTAGGTCGTGGTCCGAATCATGCTGACAACGCTCATGAGCATTGTTTGTCTTCGTTTAACATTTGACAAACAACAAGGATGAAATGATTTTTAAGCGTTGTGAGCGTGTATCGGACCGCGGCCCTAATTTATCAGAGAGGCGTAACCGGTGTTATGCATTCTGATTCGCTGTTGTAATCTAACCAATTGCGTGACTTGGGCTGCGTTCCACTTAACGCTCGCAACGCTCGCAAGCATCGTTTGTCCTTGTTTAATATTTGATAAACAACAAGAATAAAATGATTCCACGAGCGTCGCGGGAGTTAAGTGGAACGCATCCTTGGCAGCCATTTATAGTACTAGTGACATATTTCTATTTCATTTTATTCTATACATTCTACCTCACATTATCCTACACGTCTTATCTCGTTTGACATAGTTTAAAGGCAGTTCATAGCATGTCGGCCATGTTTAGTACTCTCCTTAGCACCTTTGTCATACTGACTTAAGACGGTTGCGCCTCTCTGATAAATCTAGGACTCTAGCTCAAGTTAATTGGTCCCCCACCGCTCACTGTGCAAGAGGGAAACAACTATGTCTGGAATAGAGCTGTCGTTCAATGTTGTCTTCAGCTCCTCTCGTATGAACGCTCCGTCTATCTTATAAGTCTATGGTTTTAATACACTAAGCCCGGATCCTCATACGAACAACAGCGTTTTAACACCGAACGCTGATTGGTGAAAAACGGCTGATGGGGGTAAATTTTACCCCCACAACCGACTTTTCACCAATCAGTGTTCTGTGTCAAAGCGCCAGTGTCTGTATGAGGATCCGGGCTAAGGCGTCGTCTACAATACACGGAGTAAGAAGTAAGAGTAAGAAATTGACCAATC